CCCATTTATTTGTTCTTAACAAACAATTATGAGATATTCACTACTTAAACATATAGTGCCGTTTCCCAAACTATCTTGTACACATGTTCAAATCTTGTTTCTGCAGACATGATTCTTCGGCTGGTGCTGGAGGAGGATGAGGAGGATGTGTTTGTCCTGGTGGTGCAGGCGATGAAGGTGTTCTCCAGCAGTGAGGAGGTGCAGCTCCAGGGCTGTGCCGCGCTGCAGCTGCTGCTGGAGGAGGGAGGTGAGCAGGGACTCAGTTTGACCTCTAATACCCTCGGGTGTGGAGTAACATGCATGTCCTTTGTCCTTGTTGAGATGTTAAAGGTCATGTACTGTACTAGACTAGAGTGACAGTCAAATCTGACTTTTAAATATTATTCTACTCTAAACGGTTCTGAAGAGTCCTGTCAGGCTCATTATGTCGCTTTGCTATTATTCTTATCTTACCATCAACGTTTTGCCTGAATACAAAATAAACTAAGGTTTATTATTCCTTAGTTGGCTGTTTGAGGATATTTGTAAGGTTCAGCTTCAAATCATCCAATTTGACTCGCCTCACATTTTTCTACACCACATGTGTCAAACTCAAGGCCCGGGGGCCAAATCAGGCCCTTGGTGGATTTAATTTCGGCCCGCAGGATAATTTCTAATTACTGTTAGATCTGGCCCGCCGGTATATTGCACGCACACCTTCACTCCATCCTGAGGGTCTCCTCAGCTCAGAGCCTGACCCCAAACATTGATGAGCTTGCACCCAAGATGAGATGCCAAGTATCTGAACTAGCATCAGAGAGCAGCACACTGAGTTTAATGGATGTTTCCTTCTGCACTTTGATTCTTTAGACAACAGGGCATGTTTGGTTTTTTCTTTGAGGGAAATTGTTTTTTTGAAGCTGTTGTTGGCCTGTGGAAAAATGTAATCATAAGAGTTGTTTTTATAGGCAATAATTTAAGCTGTGTTAGTTCCAGGTTTAATATGTGCTATACATTCATTTCAATAAGTTTTGCTATAAACATTGAACCAGTCCGGCCCTCGACTAGTACCGAATTTTTTTATTTAGGCCCACTGTGTATTTGAGTTTGACACCCCTGCTCTAGGCTATGCTTTGTCAATCTAAGCTGCACTTGGGCTTAGCCTAAGGCTAACATTATCATCCATCTCAGCCCATACTCGCCTTCTAATAAGCTTCAAATAGCAAGTTATAAACATTTACATATTGTTCTTTTTAACTCTTTCTTTTCTTTCTACCAAACTACAGCACATTCCCCAACAAGTGAGCACAAGCTTCTTGTTCATGAATGGATGCACGCTTCCTCATGAGCACTGATACGCTTTGTGGGTGTAATCTGGTAGAAATAAAACAGTTCCTACTTGAAACTGCTCACCACAGTGTTTTGTGGATTATCTTGAGTAGTCATAGTTTCTGGAACGAGACATTGCCATTATTTTGGAGAGAGGCAGATATCACTACGCCCAATATCTCCAATCAAAATGATCTAGATGTATTGTTTTGGGCTGAACTGTACCTGTTAATAGGCCTACACTTAGCATGTACATATCTACTTTAACAGCAACGTTTGAAGAGTGACATGCTCACATATTAGCATTTTAGCATTTTAGCTAGCCTTTTCTTAACATTTTTCCATTTGCCTGTGTCCATACACTGAACATCTTTCTCGTGCCTGTGTTTCCAGTGAGTGATGAGCACCTGGTGGAGTTTGTGGAGAACCAGGATCACGTTGTGGTTCTAGCGGCTCTGCAGAGGTTCTCCGACAGCCCCGAGCTGCTGCTGCAGGCCATGAAGGTTCTGCTGCCTCTGGCCCGCATCGGTGAGACCTCAGTACATCCCTCACAATGTTTGTGACGTCTAAAAGAGACAAATAGCAACTTAATGTAGTATTTAAGTAAACCTTAGTTTGTTGAGGATAAATGGATAGATTCAGTGTAATTCTCTTTATGTGTGGAATTGTAATATTTGTGCCTCTTTCATGTGTTTAAACCTACAGTATATCTACGGTCTATGGTTTAAACACAGAAAAGAGGCACATTTAAAGGTCCCATGTCATGGCCATTTCTACTGATCATAATTCCATTGTTGAGGTCTACTAGAATAGATTTATATTGTGCAATGTTCCAAACTCACATTGGTTTCTCACACAGCATCTCTGTATAGTATGTGTATTCACTCTCTGTCCTAAACGGCTTGTTGGAGCTCCTGCCCCCCCTCCCTGAGCCCGTGAGCCCAGTGGCCGTCTGCGAGACAGCGAGACACAGCGAAACCCAGCCCGAAACACACACACACCCGCAAGCATGGCTGGGAGTTGGTGTGTGTGCTCAGGCTGAGTTCCGCGGTGTCTCGCTGTCTCGCCCACACCAGTGAGCCAGCTCACAGTGTCCCGCTCCTCGCAGCCGCGAGCCTCGCAACGTCCCGCAGTGTGTGTGTGTGAGGAAGTCCGCGGATTGGTCCAAGCGTAACGGTCCATTTTGACCAATCTGCGGAGCCGTTACGTTACGTCACTTCACTATACCCGAAATACGTCACTATACCCAAGAAGTAAACAATGGAAAAAGAGAAATCTCCAACGAGGCGTTCTGGGTTAGCATAGACAGGTCTTTTCTGTGTTAGAGTTGTACTTTGGGGGTTTGTGACTCTGCAGACCGTTTACATGCAGGAAAAGCTACATAACACACAAGGGGACGGGTAATAACCAGAAAAGCATGACATGGGACCTTTAAGATCAAACCTTTTATTTCTGATTTCACACGACCTATATAACCCCACCAGACGATGATGTCACCGTTAGGCTTTTTGAATTGTCTTGATGGTAATTAGATTATGCCTCGAACAGTAGAATGTGTGGCGTTATGCTCCAGAGTAACAACAGCTGTGGAGTTTTGTTTGAGGAAAATAGAGACACGGAAACTCCCTCATGGGGAAGTCATAAAAACACATCATTATGTAAAAGATAATTTGGTTGGTGCCCCAAAATATTTGTTTTACAAGATTACATACACTAAAAAAGAGGAACTGAAAGATATTTTACATTTAAGGTTGCACAAGTTAAAAGGATATTTGGGGCATTTACTACGACTTTAGTAAACAACTCCTTCTGGCCTGTTCCCATAGAGTGTCTGAGATGGATCAGATATTGGCATTTCAGCCAGAAATTCTTAAAAGTTAAGATTGTCAAAAGGATCTCGTCCATCTCGAAACACAGGCCATGTCTGTTTGTGACAAATCACTTTTTTCCAGGTATTGCTGAACACTGAAGTTCTTATCAGTTCGGGGAAATTCTGCATTAATGGAGCTGGAGTTTAACCAAAAGTGGAAAAGTGGAAAACCTTCAGTCACAAACATGTTTTCTCCACTTTAATCTGTGTCTTTTCACAGATGGGGGATTCCAGACTGTTCTGTTATTTGTGAGGGACTTTTCATGCCTGGTTGTCTGCACTGTGTTTCATATTTTATTTTGTGTCCATTGTGAATCTGCTAACTTCAATACATGCAGGTTGTAAGTTGAAATAAAAGCAGCAGAGATGGCGCCATTGTTCTGAGTCTATGACCTTTTGTCCTTCAGGCAGTAACGTGGAGATGTTGATGTCGGGGGGGTCTCGCTGCTACAGCCTCGTCATCGCAGCCATGGACGCCTTCCCCGAGGAGGAGGGGCTTCAGGAGACCGCCTGTTGCCTGTTCAGGAGCTTCACATCAGGTCAGACTCTCAGATTACGCTTCTACGCACTGAGCCGGAGTATAACAACTTATATTACAACTTAAAGGTCCCCTATGATACTGTTTTTCATCAATATATTATAGGTCTCAGATATATACAAAACATGTCTCTGAAGTGTTTGGCTCAAAACACCAAACAGATCATTGCAGCATTACCCATAATCCCCTCTGTTTCAGCCCTGTTTCCAAAGTGCTGATTCTCTGTCTGTTACTTTAGATGAAAA